TCTTTAGATATATGGCTGATTCCATTTTGAATGATTCTACATCTCTGTTCTATACCAGTTATTGAGATATAGCTGACTTTTTGTAAAGTTGCATTTCAAGGATGTTCATGAAATGAATACATCCCTTCTGAGGAAGGGTCACCAGACCTGAAACGTTAACTCTGTTTTTCCCTTCACAGATGCTGCTAGATCTGCTGAGCTTTTCCAGCAAGTTTGTTTTTGTTCCTGATTTACAGCATCCGCAGTTCTTTCGGTTTTTACATCCCTAACGTAACCAGTCAGTGCAGCTTCCTGATAGTTGAAACTTTAACACATAGATAGAGAGACAGAATATGGTAATTGGGACAACTGTAAAATCAATACCCAGCTTAGCTGAATTATTGCGATGATCAGGGATATCGCTCAGCTGACTGATGAGTTGTTCAAGATCATTTAGCCGAGCAATGATCTCAGTAATAAGGTTTTAGGCTTGCTCACAGAGCCCTGCTATTACTTAGCAGGGTGACGAAATGTCTGCAATCAAACACACTGGCTCAGCGAGCAAGTCTGCAACCTCATCTACAACCCAAGCTACAAATCTTCTCAAAATCTTTAGATCGCAGTAATAGTCGTGACTTTTTGAAAGAGGAGCAGAGCCCACCAGCAATGGTGAATAATAAAGTCAATAAGAATAGTGATACAAAAATAGAAACATACAAACAAAGAACAAGATTAGGTTTCTAGGCCCTTTAAGCCTAGATCATGGCTGATCTGATTTTAACCTCAACTCTACACTCCTGCATATTCCCCTGATAATCTTTCATCCCCTTGGTAATCAAGAATCTATCTACCTTTGCCCTTGAATTTTTTTAAAGATTCTGCATCCACCCTCTTTTGAGGAAGACTCACAACTTACTGAGAGAAAAAAATGTTTCCTCATCTCTGACTGATTTTTAGACTATGACCCCTGGTTCTTGATTCTTCCACAAGAGGAAGCAGCCTTTCTTCATCCAGCCAGTCAAGTCCCCTCAAGAGCTTACATGTTTCAATTAAAGCACCCCGATTCCTCTAAACTCCAGAGATACAGGCCCAGCCTGTCCACCCTTTCCTCCCAAGGTAATCCATCCATTCTCGATGATTTCAGCAGAGAGGAAATGTTGATGGATTTGATTTGACTTTTGTTGCTAAGTTGATATGTTTCAGAAGGTAATTATGGTTACAATGAGTGAACCAAGTGAGTGAAAGTTGATACCTTGTTGGCCCAGAAGGCGGAAGCTTAATGATTCAAGGGAGCTGATTTGAATAGTAATCAACAGATGTCCATGTCTTTTATCAATTGAAATCAGGACTACAAAGTATAGGAAGAAAGTTGGTGTGGTAAGATCATGTTTGTGATCTATATAGAGTGTAGTCCACAATGGGGTCAATGAACATCAACAATCTTCACAAAGTATATACACTTATATACAGGACATGGTGAGAGAGGACATCTCTGGAACCCTATGTACTTGGATCCCTGTTCCGCGTGGTCAGACATCATCATGAGAAAACTCTGTATGCACATGTTCAGTAGTTATTATGAAGATAAAGATGTATTTAACTCTTCCCTCCACACATGGAAGGGAGAAAAGCTTGACAGATGCAATCAATAAATGAGATTGGCATTACTAATGAAAGACAAGGACACATTTGAAGAAAACTGCAAATATGTAGATGAAGGAAATTAAGAGAAGTGAGGGCTAGATTATGATTTGAATTAGCCTAAAGATTGCATTGGTTTAAAATCTTCAGGTTGTGCTTTGCTACCACATCTTAGTTAAATTTAATTTAAAGGAATCTATGTAGTTTTCTGGAATTGCGTTCTTTTATTGTCAAGAGAATTATATTAATAATTCAGTTAAACCTGAATTCTACATTTCTTTTGATAATGTACACTTTCCCTTTTTAGGAAACACATTTTGTTTATATAGCATCTATTTGCATTCTCAGAATGCCTTCAAATCCAATGAATTTCCTTTTAAGTGCAGTAAATATTGTTACATAGTCAAAATAGTTAATATTGTTCACGGTTTACACAAATAGTAAATAAATCACAAATAGCAAATTGGATGAATCATCAGTTATGAATTTGTCTGTGATACAAATTTGTTATAGCATAGCAATCTAAGGAAAGGTGAGGGAAATTGCAGAATAGATTAATGGACTGGACAGATTGGTGGCAGATATTGGTGAATGCAGGGAAACATAAAATAATATATCTTTGGCAAAAGAAAGTTTACAGGAAGTACATGAATGGTGGCATTCTTAAAGTTGGAAAAGTGAAGTCTAAAGTGGAATAGTGAAGTTTCCTTCCTATAATATGCTCAGGACTGTTTAAAGGCCTTTATCATTAATAAATTGACTTAGAAGTGTAATCACTATTCCTACGTAAGCAAATACAGCAGGGAATTTGCATATATCAACATTCCACAAATAGCAAGTGAAATGGTTTCATTAATTTATGACATATGGGAATTGATGTCAAGCCAGCATTTATTGCCCACTCCTAATTACCTTTGAGACGTTAATAGTCAGCTGTCTTCTTGAACCCATGTAGCTTCTGTGTGGTGATACACTGCAGTCCTGTTAAGGAGTGACTTAAGGGTTTTAACCTGATGAAGGAATGGCAACCTGGTACCAAACTGGACTACATTGCAGATGGACGGGAATTTGCAGGTAGTGGCATTCCCATGTACCTGCTGCTCGTGACCTCCTAGGTGGTGGAGATCACTGATTTGAAAGGTGCTGGAGAAGGAATCTTGGCATGTTGCTGCATTGCACCTTATCAATGGTTACACTGCTGCCACTGAGTGCCCATGCTGGAAAAAATGAATATTTAAGATGGTGGATGTGCTAATCAGATGGGCTGCTTTGGGTTGGATGGTATTAAGCTTTTGAGTATTGTTGAAACTGTCCTTGTCCAGGAAAGTGTTTTTTTAAATTCACTCATGGAGCATGAACATCAATGGCTGGCCAGCACTTTTTGCCCATCCCTAGTTGCCCTGCAAAAGGTAGTGGTGAGCTGCCTTCTTGAACTGCTGCAGTCCACATGCAGTAAGTTGATCCACAATGGCCATTAGGGAGGGAATTCCAGGAGGACACCATCACCCTCTATCATCTTACATCCTCTTTCTCCAATCCCTTCCCCAACCCCCACCATCACTCCTGACAGGTTGCCCATTGGCAGAAAATATTTAACCCCCGACAGAAATAGGCTGTCATGAACGTATCAGTAGCAAGGGCAGGAAAGATTCAGCCTGGGATTGGAGGAGCAGCTCCTCACTGATTCTGTCCTTTTCATGTGAGTAGCTTTTCTCTGATTTTTTGCCAACCCCATCATGATTGAATTTCCCAAGTGATTTGAGAATGTCTGGGGATGAATTTACCCATCACTCCCATATATTTTGAGATCTGAGTGGAGCAGTATTCAGCAAGTGTAGTACCATTAACTGTCAACAGAGGTAATTGGACTCTCTCTTGTTGGACATGCACATTGTCTTGCACTAGGTGGGGCAAATGTTCCTTGTATAGAGGAGTATGCATTTAAAGGGAAGCTGAACAATCATATGAGGGAGAAGTGAATGTAAGGTTTTGATGTTAGATTAAGGTTAGATAAAAGAGGGAGGTTCAAGTGGAGCATAACTGCTAGCATGCTTTTTCTGTGCTGCATATCACCCATCAGCCCAAGCCTTCATGTTTTTGAACTGCTTTATTATTTGAGGAGCTCCAGACAAACCCTAAGGTTATCATTGAGAGAATCCTACTGTGAGGAACAATAGCAGCAATGGGGCTGAGATTATTGGTATCCAACAAACACAACCATCTTCCTTATTGCCAGGCATGACTCTGGCTAATAGAGAGATCTTTCACCCATTCCTTTTGATTTTGATTTTATAAGATCTTCTTACTGCCACATTGTCTTGAAATCTAGGGCAGCTACTTTCACCTGACTTTAAACATGTCGTCCTTTTGTCCATATTTGCGTCAAGGCTAAACTGAGGTTGAAGCTGAGTGGCCCTTGCAGAGCTGAAACAAAGAGTGCACCAGTGACCAGTTTATTAGTTAGTGCCATTGATAGTAATGCTTATGTTTGGTGGGACAGTATTTGGCCAGTTAATATGTCTTTAGCATTGGCCCTTGTGTAGAATGCAGAAAGATCTTGCTATTCATTTTCAAAGTGTTGTGGGATAATCTACATCTTGTGCTATCCAATACTCGTGGCCAACTGCATTTCTGACTTGTAAGAGAAAGCAACACCTGCTGTTGTTGGATATGTGTTCTCAATACCAATACTTAGAGAAATAGAAATTGCTGGGAAAATTCAGCAGGTCTGGCAGCATCTGTGGTGGGAAAGCAGAGTTATTGTTTCAAATCCAGTGAAACCCTTTCTGAGATAACAAGGTGTGGAGCTGAATGAACACAGCAGGCCAAGCAGCATCAGAGGAGCAGGAAAGCCGACGTTTCGGGCCTAGACCCCCACTTCTGACTCTCTTTTGTCTCCACTGATGCTGCCAGACTTGCTGATTCTTTCCAGCAATTTCTACTTTTGTTTCTGATTTCCGCAGTTTTTTCGCTTATCAATATTTACATGTCTATGTATCATTAGACGTTTTTGTGCATTTGCTGTAAAAAATTAGGACGGAAAGCAAAGACTTCTGTGTTTTTATTACTTTTGTTTGTGTAGACGTTTGTTTAGTACATAAACATACGAAGTACATGTAGCTATGTTGTGTGAGGTATGCATGAAACATTTTATTTTAAAATGACATTTGGCGAGTGTCACCATATCTACATCCGTGCCTGATCTGCAGTTTCTTTCCACAATACCATCTCAATGCACGTGCACGTACAATTAAAAGTAGCTGTAGAGACCAAAACTGCCGCGAGCACTGATACGAGTACGCGCAGGACGCATTCCTGTCATGTGCACACTGACTCCACCCACCAAACCGTACGCACTGACGTCACCCCGCAGTACGCACAAGCGCTGACATTGCCGGGGAGCCGGGGAGTCGAGGCGGGGCCGGGGAGGGTGACCCATGGAGCCATTAGCCGTCATTGCCGTCTCCCTGCTCCTCGGGGCGCTCATTTACTTCATTTCAGCGGCGGTGACTGGATCGCGAAGGAGCTTACCGCAGGAAGGCAGCAGCGTTGAGGGTAAGGAGCGGGTTGAGGATTGGAGAACCGAGGGAGCGAGCCGAGGCCTGAGTACAGGCCGCCGCATTGCTGCTGTCAGCGCCTCCTGCTGGCTGGCGGAGCTACCAGCGAGCTCCTTTCATGATGTGTCAGGGTCCACATAGGCATAGCCAGACTGCAGTCAATCACTCAATACAGAGCAATCTAGGACAATTATTCAAATCAGAGACAAGCACAGGCAAAACTTCATGATAGACTGGTATAGGAATCGTTGGCCCGAATTATCGATTGCTGCCAAGCTTCCTACACTTACTTTAAACAGACCTGAAATTGCTCGTCTGCTATATCCTAGAATGTTACCTCTTGAAAGAATTCATTGGCATATATATCTGACTGAATGACTGATCTGCTTCCACCTTCTCCCTCTAGAGAGAGTCTTCCATTCATTGACCACTTGCACACTAACCTCTGGATACAACCCCACGATTTTCTTGGGAAAATTCTGGTGTGATCTGATCTGTTGAATGTTTCCATCTGTTGCCTTGCCACCTCATGTTAGTGCTATGCTGAGGTGAATCAGCATGACAGGTCTGGTATGAGGGAAATAACCTGCTGTTATTTAGTCTTTTCACTTCCATCCCCAAATGATTCAGCCAATGAAGTACTTCTGATGTGTAGTCAGTATTTTTTATGTTGGTAAAGGTGGCAGACTCTTTACACAAACAAAATTGGCTTGATGGTAGGAAACAGAGGGTGGTGGTAGAGAGTTGTTTTTCGTACTGAAGTCCTACTCTAGGGATTGGTGCTGTGTCCACTGTTTGTCATTTACATAAATGATTTGGATGAGAATTTAGGAACCCTGGTTAATTTGCTGATGACACCAAAATTGTTGGTAAAATGGATGGTGAAGAAGATTATCAAAGAGTACAACAGCATCTTGATCAGTTGGGCCAGTGGGCGGATGAGTGGCAGATGGAGTTTAATTTCGATAAATGTGAGGCGTTGAGTTTTGGTAAGACAAACCATGACAGGACTTACACAGTTAAATAGTTCCTTGGACATGGTGACACACGTAGACAGGGTGGTGAAGAAAACATTTGGCATGCATGCCATCATTGGTCAGGGCTTTGAGTATTGGAGTTGGCACGTCATGTTGCAGCTGTACCGGACATTGCTGAGGCCAGTTTTGGAGTACTGAATGTAGTTCTAGTCACCCAGCTAAAGGAAGGATGTTATTAAATTGGGAAGGGTACAGAAAAGATTTACGAGGATGTTACCAGGACTGGACGGTTTGAGTTATTCGGATAGACTGGCAGTTTTTTTCCCTGGAGCATCGGAGTTTGAGGGATGACCATCGAGGTTTATAAAATCATGAGAGGCATAGATGAGATGAATAGCAAAGGTCTCTTCCCTAGGGTAGGGGAGTTCAAAACTACAGGGCAAAGGTTTAAGGTGAGAGGGGGAAGATTTAAAAGGGACCTGCGGGGCAACTTTTTCACACAGGGGATGGTACAGATATGGACTGAATTGCCAAAGGAAGTGGTAGATGCAGGTACAGTTAGAACATTTAAAACACATTTAGACACTTACATGATTAGGAAAGGTTTAGTGTTATGGGCCAAACGCAGGAAATGGGACTAGTTTAGTTTGGGAAACATGGTCGGCGTGGATGTGTTGCACTGAAAAGTGTGTTTCTGTGCTGTATGACTCTGACTCTGTAACTTTCCACAAACAGGAAGGAGAGAATAGAGAATTCAACAGTAATTAATGAAGAAGATCATTTGGCTGATGTTAATGAATACATTTGGCAGAATCCTCCTAATTTATCGAGTACGATTTAATGCAACTTGCCCTGTTTTCTCCCCCACCTTCATCTGATTGCTTATAGTTAGTTACCACATAATATTTCTGGGATTTTCATCTCCGCTGTTCTGCTAGGACGTATTCATTAATTTTGTTTTAAAAGATAATTTCTTTTATTTTTAATACTGCTGATTCAAGACTAAATACTATTTAGAATGCAAGGAGAACTGACAATAAGTTTCCAGAGTGCAGGGTATCTTTGACACACACCTGAAAACAGAGACTGTACCTCAGCTTAAACAATTCATCTGTAAGGTGGCAGCTCGCAAAATGTAGCATTGCCTCTACTGTGTAGAATTATTGGCCTCGCTGTGCGCTCAAGTATTGGAATTCAGCTTGAGCCCATGACCTCTGACTTTGAGCACAGTTTACAACAAAGGCCATCATAGACTGAGCCTCCATCACAGTCCACCCGATATTGTTTCTTCCTCTGGAGAAATGTTCCTAACTCTTCCGCATCATTTCAACCAAATAAGGTAGTGGAAGCAAAAGCATTTATCTGGACATATGTATGCTTGTATATGGTTTAATGTTATATTAACCAATCTTATTTCCTGTGTCACAATTTTGATTGAATTTTATATCAACAGTTAACATGGTAACTGCTTTATTAAAACCTTGTAATAGGAATCTATACATAAGTAGCTGTCTGTTATGATGTGATTGCATACTGCGTTTTTTTTAAGAGGTTGCAGCATCACTTGGAGCAATTAACAGTAGGCATTGACCAGTATTACACACCAGAATTCTATGCAGTTTATCCGCTGATGTTAATTATCAGGTATCCAGCAGTTCTAGGTAAATCGGTTTAGCAGATTAATTCCTGGGACGATGGGATTATTTTGTGAAGAGGAATTGAGGAAACTGTCTGCATTTCTTAGAGTTTCAAAAAGGTCATCTCTTTGAAATTTGCAAAATTTTAGCAGGGCGTGATGAGATGATTCCCTTGGCTGGTGAGTCTAGAACCAGGGGAATCTAAAGCTTGACAGAGCTGGGTGGGGAATGGATGCAATACTGAATTTAGCTCACTGGTGATGTGTCTCTAGTGGGTGGACACAGATGTTACAGCACTTGATGGTGTTGAGAATAATCCATATTTAGCTGCACAATTTTATGACGTTTTAAGGGTTCTCTCAGGCACTAAATTTGGTATATTGTGTTACCTAGAAGTGTGCATCTATCTCTTGTCTGCTGTTCTGTGCATGTCCCTATCTCTTACTTTGTGTCTGTTTTAGCAATTTGAATATTTGCATTTTGTTTGTATGCTCAGAACCAACAGTCAATCTTTAATCCATTGAACACCTTTTGGTGTTCTTAAAAAAGGGAACAAGAGAATGAGAAATCCAAATGAGTGCCAGCTTTATCATGTGTTAAACTAATATTTATGGTGATTGTTTCATTTATAGAGAATATGATGTATTTATCCTTGAGCCAATATTTTCTATAGAAATCTCGCTTCAGTACTTAATCACATAAATTGGCTAAAGTCAGTTACAGGCCTTTGTCCATGCTTCCTTTTTTAAAAAATTTAATTCAGATTCCACCATCTGCCACGGCAGGTTTCGAACCTGGGTCTACAGAACATTATCTGGACTCCGGAACAATGGTCCAGCGATAATTCTACTAAGCCTCCCTCTGATTGAAACCCAGTTGAACACCTTTTGGTTACAGATAGATATTTAGTTTACTTGTTATAAAATATCAGTGAACTGAAGCCATCTGTTCTTTTATTCAGAGGACAGTAAAGTCAGTAATGGAGTGAGTGACAGAAACACAGCATCAAAAAAGCAAAAGCTACAGCGTCCACGTAAAGAAAAATTGCAGCAACACGTGTTTTCCCATCCATTGCTGGCCACTTCTTTAAAGGTAAGGAACTACAAAGGTATATCATAAATCAGTCACCACACTACATACTTCAGTAGCCATGTTAGTAATAAGAATTGCACTTGAGATGGGGAGAAACAGGTAAAATCTTAGTTCACATCTGTAGATCAGCAACAACTCGCACTTGTATGGTGTCTTTCATGTGGAGAACAAAACATCCCATACCTATCCAGAGGAGCAATTTAAAAAAAAATTTTTCTGGACTTCACATTTATGTGGCTGAAATGTTTTCAGGACTGTACACCACACGTAGCAACTAATACAAAAGCAAAATCTGTAGCTGCTGGAAATCTGAAATTTAGACAGAAAATGCTGGAAATACTCAGCAGGTCAGGCACCATCTATGGAGAGAGAAACTGAGCTAAATTTTCAGATTGTGGTGATTTTCATGTCTGAGGCAAAATAGAAGTGAAATAGGTTTTGAGCAAGTGGAAAGGAGGGGAGTGTGGAAGAACGAAATGGAAGGTCAATGATTGGGTGGAGGACAGCATACAAAAATCAAAGGGACAGGTAAGGGATATAAGAAATAACTATGTATTGTAAAGAAACAGATGAGTGTGAATGTCAGCTATCTGATTTGAAATGAAGGAATGAAGAAAAAAAGTTGGACACTGAAGCAGCAAATAATTCCAAAAAGAATATCTCTGTTCAGTTTGCCAAGCATGACCTCCGAGATTTCCATCATTTGTCGTTTTATTTCTTCACTTTGTTTCCATTCTGATTCTTTCTGTCCTTTGTCTGCTATAATGTTCCTATGAAGCTTGAGTAACAAAACCTTATCTTTTGAGTTGGCTTGCTGCAGCTTTCTAGATTCTGCGTTGGGTTAGATCATAACTTCTGCCTCTATATTTTTGTTTCATTTTTGTTCATTAACATTAGGTTTATTCTGTTTCCACAAGTACTGTCTGACCTGCTGAGTATTTTTGGCATTTTCTGTAGCAACCAGTACTGTGCAGGATGTTGTCTTCATGCAATTGTCATATGTCTTAGTTTGAAAAATGAATAATCTATGTCCACCATTTCTCAGAATTGCTGTTTGAAGAGCCAACCATTGGGAAGCTTTATCTAACACTTGGACACAATTCTGGTGTGGCTGTGATAAAATCACTCAATTTTATAAGGGTAGACTGTTCTTCGAGTTCTTTCCAGTCTGACGTTAAAGTGCCCTGAGAGTTACTCCCATTCTAATCTCTGAAGTTTGCCAGCCCAGTGAGCTTGTTCTGAGTCGGTCACTGGCAGGCATTGGTCGCATGTTAATAATCGAGCAGGGAAAAATAATAAGTGCTAGGTTGATACATTCTTTCCCACCTGGTCAATTTTGAGTGCTAGCTGTTTGAGATGTTCCCATCTGGCTGGTGGAATACAGTTTTGCACCCTGTCGAGTTAACAATGAACTTGAGTTTGCAAAATTTCTCCCTCGGCAATGCTGGCCCTCTAGTTCCTCTCTGTCGTGTCACTGATCCTGCATATGTGGGCCAGTGACTATCTGATATTGAATCTGGAACTTCAAACTAACAGCTTTTAGAGATACTGGAGGCAATTTTCAATGTTGACCCAGGATAAATTCCTGTTAGCACTATATATTTTTAACTATGCTGGAGGAGCATGAAGAGCTCCGTTGTGGTATTGGTCATGCATTTTATACTTCAAAGTTGTTGCACATTTAGGTTTATTGTAAATATCTTGGTTTCAGTTTCTATCATAAGCAATCTAGGCATCTTACTTTTATGGGAGTTGACTCACACTGCTCTCTCTCTGTCTCTCTATCTGTTTGCATGATCGTGTAACCCAGGGTGTGACAATAATAGCCCCTTGTGATCTGGACATGGTATTCGTGTGATTCGCATGTGTACTTCTTCAAATTATCCGAAGGTGAAGCATATGAACACTTGGTGCTACACAAAATATGAGCTGCTTTATTTCACAGTAAGATGAACATGCAGAACGCCACTTACTTCAATCTGTATAGTTTATCTTTGCAGAATAACTTAAATTAAAGCATGTTGTACTACCCACATCAGTAAGTCATCCTGCTTGACTCAAAAAATAAATCTTTGAGCTATCCTTTAGCATTTGTAACTCATCAAAAGCTCTCTAATAATCCTGACCGCCTCTTGGCTTTCTGGTTTTCAAATCTGACTGTTTTAGTCTATTTCTGTTGCACTCCTGCTGCTTACAGTTATTTTTTTAAGGAAGGAAGATCTGTTAGATCTCCTAAATGTCCAGCACCAGCTACTCCCAAAACAATAGGCACGAGTTTTTATTGAGCAGAAACTAGCATGTAGCAATCCAGTAGGCACAAGATTTTTACTGAGCAGAAACAGCATGTAGCAATCCAGGAAACACCATTAAAGTTGGTCTTTTAGCTACTTAATTGTTTCTCGTTCCCAGATCTTTTGTTAAAGTTATACAATGAATTTAAAGCACATTTGGAATCACACATTTTTGAAACCCTTTCCATGCAACAAAGAATGGTCAAAAGATCCTGAAGTATATATGAGAAATGTATTCTCAGTGATTGTGTTTTGATTGAATTGTTATTTTGCTTTGAAGAGTCACAGTGGGAATGTCAGCTGCCTGGATTTCAGTAGCAATGGAAAGTACTTGGCTTCGTGTGCTGATGACCGCACAGTGCGAATTTGGAGTACGAAAGATTTTCTTGGGCATGAGCATCGTTGTGTCCGCTCTAATGTCGAGCTTGATCATGCCACACATGTGTGCTTCAGCCCTGACTCCAGGTAAAATGTGATTTAACCATAGAACAGAAGCAAATCATTTTTATCAAATAGAAGGAGGCCATATGGCCTGTCATGAATGTGGCTATCTGAAAGAACCGCTCACCTATTACCACTTCCCTGCCTGCTCCCAATAACCCTGCTCACTCTTCCTTGTCAGATAATAATTCAATTTCCTGTTGAATCCCCCAATTGAACCTACCACATTCTCAGGCAGTACTTACCAGATCCTAACCCTTCTGCACAAAAATAAAACTTTCCCTTCTGTTGGCTTTGCTTTCTTTGCCAATTACCTTGTTCTTGATCCTTTAGGAACAGTTCTTCCCTACCTACTTTGTCCAGGCATTTATTGATTTTGAGTACCTTGATTAAATCTCTCAGCCCTCTTTTCTTCAAGGAGCATGCTCCCAATGTTTTAACTCATGTTCCTCACCTGGAAACTATTTTCATAAACCATTTCTGCAATGTTTCTAATGCCTTCACATCCTTCCTAAAGTGTGGTATCCAGAACTGAATCCAGTGCTCCTTTTAAGGCTGAGCCAGTGTTTTGTACTTGCTTTTGTACTCTATTCTGCTATGAATAAAGCCTCTATTCTTTGTTAACCGCGCTCTCAACCTATCTTGCCACCCTCAATGATTTTTTTTTATATAGAATCCCTACAGTGTGGAAGTACATATACATCTACTACCCTTTATCCTGCATCCCCATTAGATCGTATCACTTTGTAAAATTGTTTCTTCTTGTTCTTTCTACTGAAATGAATCATTCTGCACTCTGTTATGATCCCAGTTGCTGGTAATTTTGGACAAGTCAAGAATGAAACCTTGTTTGATAGGTCATATCTTTAATTTTTGCAGTTGGTTACATGGTAGTTCATTATGATACATTCACACAAGGCTGTAGATGTTCTTTAACAATGCACACGTTTAGCACACAAAAGACAGAAAAACAATGACAATAACAATCAAAACTATACACAACTAGAAAGATCTTAACATGAATAGCAAAACAAAGTTTCAACTTGTTCTTCAATACTATCCTTTTACAGATACATTTCTGAAAAAAAATCACTCCTATTTCAACTGTTTAAACGTTTAATTTCCTGACTGTGTGCTGTTTCTACTCCTTGTATTGCTGGTTTGATTTGATTTATTATTGTCACATATAGTAGGTACAGTGAAAAGTTTTGTTTTCGTGCAGTACAGGCAGATCATACTGTACAAACTGCATTAGAGTAATAGAACAGAGCAAAGAATACAATGTTCCGGCTGCAGAGGAGGTGCACAGAAAGCAAGATTAACATGAAATTTAAAATTTGAGAGGGCCATTCAGAAGTCTTAATAGTGGGGAAGAAGCTGTTTTTGAATCTGGTCGTACGTGTATGCAAATTTTTATATTTTCTCCCTGACGGAAGAGGGTGGAAGAGAGTATAACTGGGGTGGGAGGGGTCCTTGATTATGTTGGTTGCTTTCCTGAAGCAGTGGGAAGTATAAATGGAGTCAATGGATGGAAGTCTGGTTTGCGTGATGGACTTGGCTGCTTTCATAATTCTCTAGTTTCTTGTGGTCTTGGGAAGAGCAGTTGCCATACCATGCTGTGATGCATCCAGATAGAATGCTTTCTATGGTGCACTTATGAAAATTGGTAAGAGTCCTTGAGGACAAGTCGAATTTCCTAAGCTTCATGAGGAAGAAGAGATGTTGTAGTGCTTTCTTGACCACTGTGTCAACATGGGTGGACCATGACAGATTGTTGGTGATCATCACTCCCAGGAACTTGATGCTCTCGACCATATCCACCTCCGAACCATTGAAGCAGGCACGGGTGGCCCTTCATTTCACTTCCTGAAGTCACTGTTGGTTCCTCCACTTTGCTGACATTGATGGAGAGATTTTTGTATTTTCACCATGCTCTAAGCGCTCAATCTCTTTCCTGTATTCTGTCTCTTTGTTGATTGAGATCCACCTTACAGTAGTGGTGTCATTAGCAAACTCGTAAAATGGAGTTGGAGCAGAATTTGGCAGTGACGAGTTTATAAGGAGTATAGTAAGGAGCTGAGTACGCAGCCTTCTGGGGCACTGGTGTTGAGGATTATGGTGGAGGAGATGTTGCCAATTCTTACTGATTGACATTTATGGCTCTGGAAGTTGAGGATCCGGTTACAGAGTGGGGAGACGAGACATAGGTCTCGGAGTTTAGAGATGTGTTTGCTTGGAATTATGGTGTTGAAGGTAGAATTGTATTCTCCTTGCACTGCTAAGATAGTTTTACATTTCCTTTCCAAGTCCATGGGCATGAACCTTTTGCAGTTTTGATGGCTGAACTTTGAGTTCTAACAACTTCAAGACTTCTATCCAAGCTTTCTTGACTTAGAAGCTCCATAAGCTTAAGCACTTTGGCTAAGGTGACTACTTACCCTGAACTAAAAGCTTGATTTTTCCATCTAGGAGAAGCTGTATTATCTTTTGAATCGAGCTCCTGAACTCAGAAGCCAGAAGTACTGGATTCCTGTAAACACAGCAGTATAAACATTCCATTCATTAACACTACAGGAGTTCTGCCAGGCACTTGACCACAGTCACATACATTCTAGGAATTGATGCACTTAAGTATCAGTTTACCAAATGATGATCTGGCCATTTAAAAAATATGAACAACATGGAACTGACCCAAATATATCTGCTTCTATACTAAAATCAATATCCTCATTGATGATGATATATTTATTACATACCCTTCATTATATGCATTAAATTTTATTTGCCATGATCTCTTCACTTCACCAATTTGACTTTGTCCTTTTGAAACTCTTCACTGTCCTTCTCACAGTTCACAACACAGGTTTTGAATTATCTGCAGATTTTGAAACTGTACCTACTACACTAGAGACCAGATTGTAACAGTATTTTAGTAAGAGCATATGTCCTAACTCTGACCCCTTGGGAGCTCCACTATAAATCTCCCTTCAGTCTGAAAAGCAACCTCTAGCTCCGACTGTTTCCTGTCATTTAGCCAATTTCACATCCGTGTTGCTTGCTGCTGTCCCTTTTATTCCAGAAGCTCTAACTTAGAAAGCTATTGCGTGATACATTTCCAAATACTTTATGGAAGCCCATGTTGCATGCATACTATATCAGCAGAATTATCCTCATCACCCTTCTCTTATACCTGATCAAAAGGTGAAGCATGTAATTTAAATAATTTTGCCCTTTTCTAAAAAAAAGTTTGTGCTGGCTTTCCTTAATTAACTGCATTTGTCTGGATAACTTAATTTTGTCCTGAATTAGAGGTCCTCGAAGCCTTGCTACCAGTTACACTGACAATTGGCTTCCAGTTGCTGGGCTTATCTTTATTCTCTTATTTGAACAAGGGTGTATAACATCTCTATAATAATAGTGATATAATTCTGAAGCGTGCAATCTCATGACTGAAACCTGGAGCTTGCGCTGCTGCAGCTGTTACACATCTCATATGGTTATGGCGCATTGATGGCATCCCTACCGCTGGACTGGGAGGCCTGGATTCAAGTCCCACCTGCTTCAGAGATGTGTAAAAACATCTCTGGAACAGGTTGCTTAGGAAAAATGGGTTAAGTTTTTAAAAAAAAAAGGATACTGGAAGCATCTCGGAGTACCCACATGGCGCAGTATGTGCACTCGATAGAACTTAGCTGGGCTGTCGTTCATCTGTTATATTAAAAGTTATTGCTTAAAAAAGCTACTTCTCTTCTGACATCACTAAAATATAGGGAAGATAGATTACATGTTTTACTTGACCTTTATTACTTTAAAACTGAAAATTTCAATTTCCCCGTTTATCGTACTAACTCCCTAACTTTGGAAAAAGGAAAATGAAGCTACAGTATTCACCCACCAATCATGTTCATGAGTTGTTAGAATTTTGGTTACTGCTAATTTTTCAATGGTTCGTTGACATGGCATTTATCATTTTTATGTTATGGAAAGAAAATTATTTTGTTGTCCTGAGCATAGCAAGTAGAAACTCACTTGTCAATTATCTAGGATTGAATTGCCGATTTGTTGAAATTGGAAATAAACATAATTTGTCAGTTTACAGGTGGTTGCTCATTACTCTGACACCAGGTTGTCTGAACCTTCAGATGCCATTGCTTTGCACCACTCCTGAATCTTGGTCCTTGAGTTGCTAGCAGTGTATTAATGTGATTTTCTTTTTAATTCTGTCATAACAGAGCTTTCATTACATGGCTGGCAAATGAAGAAGCTATCCGTATTTTTAAAATGATCAAAAAGGACGATGGTACGTTCACGTTCACTGCTGCACCTGAAGACTTCCCGAAGAAGCACAAAGCTCCAATTGTGAACATTGGAATTGCAGAAACAGGTGAGGTCCAATGACACTGGTCAGGGTTCATCCACTGTCTGCGGTTTGCTTCACTGTTTTGAGAGGTCATCCAGTGTTTGATTCACTCATTTTCGTCAGAGATGGGAGGCTTTGACTCAGAATCTGGTACTGTTCATATATATTTGTTTGGGAGCATTTTCCTTCTAATGGAAAAGCCAGCCTGCCTGTTTGACATCCATAGTTGTGGTTTATTCAGTCAGTCGGGAGATATTGAACAGTAAAGGAATTAAGGGTTATGGTGAGTGGGCGGGTAAGTGGAACTGAGTCTCAAAAAGATCAGCTATGATCTTATTAAATGGCTGGGCAGGCTCAAGGGGCCAGATGGCCTACTCTGCTCCTAGTTCTTATGTTCTTGTATCATAACTCTCAAACCAAAGGTATGAGATGGTTATCAGATAAGGAGATAAGTTACTGAACTGTTTCATGACTTGTAGATTGAGAATGCAACACAGCTAAATTGTTAACACTTTATCTATCTATTGTCTCAAAATTCCTTCCTTTACTTGCATGCATTATGCCTTTCTAAGCAAAGCATTTCGAGTAATTTTCTTCGAAAATCCTTTGTGTTAAAATGGTCAGAAATTCTTGAGTTGTGACTATGATTTAGGATGACTTGCCATACTCCCCTTGCCATAGTGTTTAAAGGGGTATTGTCTGTATCTTCTGATGGCCTGATTGAAATTGTAGATATTCTGCATTAAAAAAATACAGATGCTAACCCATGTCACTTGGTGAGACTTGGATTTTGCATGTGTATTATTTTAAAAGTATGGTTACGTGTCAAAGATGTAGTGAGACTTGTCCTTTGTTGCAAAATAACTATAAATATAATGTGAAATATACTAACTACCTCTATTTTAATCTTAATTATAGGAAAATTCATTATGTCTGCATCCAATGACACAACCATTTTGATTTGGGACTTGAAAGGAGAGGTTCTGGCTACAATTAACACTAACCAGATGAACAATGCATACGCCACAGTCTCTCCTTGTGGAAGGTTGGTGTCATTCACTTTGGTATTAAGTAACCAAAACCCAGTAGTGATACCATTCAGACTGGTTGTGATGGTACAGCGAAGGCCAGCACAACAAGATCCATTGGGACTGACCAATTGCCACTTTGCCACCAGTGTCCCAGCCAGTGATTGAGCTGTAACTTTACATGTTGTTAAACTTTACCACCTGGCTTCTAAAAACATTATTTGATGATGTGTGCTTCATTTCCATTTCTGCAGATTTGTGGCTTCGTGTGGCTTTACACCAGATGTGAAAGTTTGGGAAGTGTGTTTCACCAAATCGGGCACGTTCCGGGAAGTGGTGAGGGCCTTTGACCTAAAGGGTCATTCAGCTGGCATTTACTCATTTGCTTTCTCCAATGACTCCAGGAGGTGAGACCCTGTTGTATGACTTTGTCTCATACACAATTGGAAGTAGGAGTTACTATTTACAAAGCATCCACCTCACAGCTCTCCAGATTTCAGTGGTTTTAGTTCTATATGCTTACATCTTTCAATCAATCATATTGAGAACAAGGTATAACATTGCAGGGACCAAGAAAGACAGAATTCACAGAGAAAGAAAATGACCCTCGAGATCACTTTCTTAGTGTAATGTTTTTGAGAACTGTAGAACTTATACAATTTGTGATGCTGCAATTGAGCTTCAAGAACCCCATGGCATCCCAGCCAGTAGGCCAACTCGATGAAAATACTGGACTATTTGAGGGAAATTTCAGAGAAATTCTTGTCTGATTCCCATGAGGTGATCATAAGAGGAGACCAATGAGTCATTAGCTGTGAATTACAGTTATATATAAGTAACAGTCTTGCTTCCTATCAGCTGCAATATTAGTTACACTTCAAAACCAGCTGTCTCTTGAATTCCTGCAACAAAACCGTGCTCACTAGAGTAGCTGGTAAATTATCCCTCTGTAAGTATACCACTTTCTGACAGCTGTACTGGGTATGTATGATACAACTTGTATGCATTTTCCTTGGTATATCTTAACCAACCTAATTCAAACAGTTTATTTGAATGAACAGCATCTGCTTCCTTTATTAAGTTAAAGGTCTCTATAGTTTTCTAAAGTAAAGGGAGTAAGCTGTCTGTGCTGGAAAAGCTCAGCAGGTCTGGCAGCATCTGTGAACGAGAAAACAGAATTACCGTTTTGGGTCCAGTGACCCTTCTTCAGAACTATGCTGTTCTGTCATGGGCATCCCTAACAGAGTCAGATTGCCATTGTCTTTTCACGTTGAAGCTTCTAACATTTGCCCTTACGCTTGGATCTTATGCAAGCTTGTAGGTAGTTCTTCCAATGCTACTGTCCAAATAATTAAGGTAGTGAAGAGCAGTGACCCCGTGACTGCTTCCTCGGAGATTCCACTAGTTATCAGTCAAGACACAAACCTACTGTCAACAATAACAACGTTCTGTCTATAGATTTTCTATCTATCCCAAAATTTGCTGACCACTTGCACAGCATAATGTCTTTATTGTGACATTGTGTGGCACCTTTTCAAAACTTTGGAAAATAGAAGCGTATAATTCCAACTGAAGTACCTACATCCACCAGCCTAAGACATTCATCAAAACAATTCTACAGCTTGATAAGATGTGGCCACTTTACCAGAATTCATATCGAGAATCTCTAACAATCCCTGTTCAATCATAATTCCCTCACAGAGCATCTCTAATGATCGTTGTAGGAACTTTCCAGTAAACAAAGCTAATAGTTATGTAATTTTCAGTTTTTATTTTGTCCTCCTTATATATATTGGTACCCATAGTTGAATATTGATATTGTGCCTAGACAATTCTTGAGCAATTATTTTTTGAAACAGACCAAGTAAATTAGGTAACGGTCCTTAGACTATGGTTCTCTTTGCTTTGGATAAGAGAGTCAGAGATCACAAAAAGACCAGACCCAGCAAGTGGAAGGATGAAAAAGTGATTTTTGTTGCACCAGGTGATTATCTTTCCTTAGTTCATATATTCTGTAATGCCAGGATAGTCATTAATCTCTGGAAAGCGGGTGGCTTCTGTATTTAATTGACTGCCCTATTTGCTGCTTGCATTTAGAGCAATATTGACAGAAGTTTTGTGAGCAGCTTTCCAATAGGTTTATTGTTTGAATGAATGAGCATGATAAAAGGGAAGTATAAAGGTAGCATGTTTTTACTGGTGAGTTGTTAACTGGCTGGTTGGAATAAATCATTACATAAAGGGTTCAAAATGACTCACTAATATAAGTTATTAATGATTACATAGAAGTTTTTGAAGTTACAGAATTTAGTTTTTACTGGATTGTAATTTTTTTTATATAAAAGAGAAATTACAGATATTGAAACATTTTCTAATTTGTTTCCCCGACAGAATGGCAACAATTTCTAAGGATGGAACCTGGAAGCTTTGGGACACTGATGTTGAGTACAAACAGCAGCAGGACCCCTATTTGCTGTACACGGTGAAGTGTGAAGCCTCTGATCCCTGCCGAATCGCGCTTTCTCCTGATGCCAGGGTGGTGGCTATCTCCAGTGGCTTCAACATTACAGTGCACAATACCAAGACGGGCAAACAGGAGGAAGAGTTTTTAAATGTGCATGGGGAGGAGATTACTGGCTTGGCATTTGACATCAACAGTAGATTTTTAGTTTCATGTGGTGATCGTGCAATTCGGGTCTTCCACAATGTGGTGGGCTACCGTGCAGTTATTGAAGAGATGGAAGGCAGGCTGAAGAAAGCAACAAATGAAGCAATGCGAGAAAGATTACAACAACAAATTGATGATGCTCAGAAAGCATTAGAGGCAGTGTATACGAGGAAAGAGTAAAACCACAGCAAACTAGCATTGCTTTTGGGTTTGTGTTTCTGGACCTCCTCTGTAAACTCTGAGGAAAGTTTGAGATTTCACTTTAACTGTGCACTGTTTGTACACAAAATAAATATGATAGCCCATGCATTTAGGTTCCGGCCACCACTAAAAGT